GACCCGGCACATCACCCAGTTGAGCCTTGGCCTCCCCTTTTTGCCCACCTCAAGTGTTTTCGACTTACAGGAGATTGAGTGAAGTGAGTGCGCTGACACTGGCAGGGATGCTGCCTGAAAACTGGTTGCCTGAAAGATCACTGGAGGTTCATAAAGAAAGTTGTAGAGAATCATCAGTTTTGCGGTGTCGCAAAGTGGGCGAGCCGTACATGTATGATAGCATTCGATGTGTGGAGCAGGCAAAAACAGCCCATGAAACAAAGGAGAATAAAGGCGGACAGACTAAATAATTGTCAACTTGGACACTCTGAACACAAGAAAGACAAAGCATCAGATGACAGGTGGCACACGACTACAACAAAGTGATGGAATGGGGATATGAACTAAGATAAACAGGCAATAACAGCAGAAGACACAATGCAGACCAAAGGCAGACAAAGAAATGCCATCCTGGCCGCACGAAACAAGATCAAAGAAAATCCAACAGTTAACTGACACAATAGCACACCAATGTGATGGAAATGGAGGGGGGGAGGGGGGGAGGTGGGGAGGGGGGGTAGGGACCATGTTAAGAACGAGGACAAACAAATCAACGGGGTAGAATGCATAAAAATCCATACATAGTGACCAGCTTTGTGAGCACGCCAATGTTGGGGATGGGACCTGTGAGCTGGTTGCTAGCGAGGGTACTGTTCAGAAGAGGAGATGATTGGGAAGTGGAGTGTGAAAGAAGAGGGGGAATAGTGAGAGAGATGGGGCAAGAGGTGCTAAGTGCGAGCAAGTATGTTTCTGGATCATGACAAATTTCTTCCCTCATAACGACTAGAATTTCTGATTTTTAGGCCAAAAGCATGTAAATGAACAACAACAAAACAATATCCATGCACCACACCACCCTCAGGTTCTACTAACATCCCCTTCGAAATTTTGGTGAGGCAGGACCCTGGAAGCGATTGAGATATACTTGACTGCAATAGAGTAAGTATTGCCAATGGTCCCTTACAGTTCCTTAAGCGCATTGACTGGTTCGACGTGCAACTAGATTTGCTAGTAGGGTCTAAGTGTTTGATCTAGCCGTCCCACACAAAAGTATCACACGACATGAAACGGTTTTAGTGTAGTATTTGCCATCACAATTGAAATTCGCCTTTTTCTACTCAATATGGTAAACAGAATTATGATATTTTCTCTTTGTCAGCACTTGACACAGAGAGAGCGTAGGCACACAATACGGCCAGCCACCCCCTGCTAAGAGTTGAGCAAAAAAACGAAGGCAAACCGAACAGGTTTTGTTTTTAGTTTAAAGTGTTCGTGACAAACGTGTTCGAGGTTCGCCCGAACATGTTCGTGTTCGGGCCGCTGCTGCAATTTGCCCCGCGTCGAACACGAACGTGTTCGAGGTTCGCCCGAACACGCCTTCACAGGCAAACACCGAACATCTGTTTTTTGCTAAAAGTGTTCGCCGAACCGAACAACAGTGTTCGGTTCGGCGAACGGCTGTGTTCGTGCAGGGGCGAACATGAACGTGTTTGTGTTCGCCCCTTGCTCATCCCTTCCCCTGCTAGACGTCAATCCAGTACCTATGGGTACTTACAGGCTGTTTGGTGGGCTTCTAGAGTCGCCTAGGTAGCTCACTTATGTCCCACCACTTACATGCTTCCAGTTGTCGTCTTCGTAGCAATAGGTTAGTCTCATTAGTCCATGCATGGCCTACACTTGCAGTACCGTTTATTATATTCAGTGAAAAGGACCGTTAGAGATTTAAGAAACAACAAAGAGACGAACGAAAACAAAGATAGTATGGGCACTAGTTTAATATGATATGGATGCATGATGCATGAGAAGGGATATTTAGGTAGGTCTAGCCAAGTTACAAGAAAGTGAGTGCAGTGAGCTGTGTGATCGAGGAGGGCACGGATCCCGACAACTTGTTTGAGCTGAGAGAGCTGATGGCGGTGTGGAAGGTGGAGGCGCAGGAAGAAATGAGGCGAGTCCACTTGAGGATGCAGGAGCAGAGGCAGATGTTGGAAAGAACTAGGAAGGGCACGGAGAGATAGGTATGGTAGCAAGTGGAGGAAATGGAGGTAAAGAAGTGGAGAGAGGGAGAGAACATCTAAAGGGGATGAGAGAGATGGGATTGAACCAATGTTCACAGGGGTTGAACTTCTGACCCTACTACTCCAAATGTGACATGTGATTGCATATGGAGATGAGGTACTGGAATAGAAAAGGAATAAGCAGGTGGAGTGCTAAAGTGGGTAAGCACACGAAGGGCATTGTTGAAATGAGGATGACTGGATGTTTCCGTGAGTCATGAAGGAAATAGGAGAAGTGACCAGGAAAGGGTTTCAAACAGGGAGAAACAATCAGGAAACGCACAAACAGAACACAAGCGGTGGGCAGGAAAAATGTTACAAGGTAAGGGGCTTACAGGGATGCAAGTCTGGACATGGAACCAGTTTCAGCCGGGATGGGGCCAGAGAGCTGATTTTTTAAGAGGTTTCTGAATGACGCAACACAGAAATGAGATATAACGAGAGGCGGAGGCTGAGGTGAGCAGGCAAAGGGAGCAGATGTTCAAATCTGTCCAGACGAACAATGGCTGGAATGATAGTGATGTGCATAACGAGTATTCAGCTGAGTTGAGCCTGGCTCGTTGAGCCGGATCCGGCACTAGCCAAGCCAATCCCTTCTTGCCTTTCTCGTTTCTGTATGACTCACAGGAAAGTAAGTTGAGTAAGAGCACTGACACTGGCAGGGATGCTGCTTGAAAGCTGGTTGCCTGAAAGATCTCTGGAGGCTCATAAAGTAAGCAACAAATTTCTAGCCAATGATCAATCGAATTTCGAGTCCTCACAAAGTGAGTAACCCGTTAAACGTATAATACAATTTATTGTGTTAAAGAGGCAATAGTAGCATAGTATGCAAAAGGAGGGCAGACAGACTAAAAGAAACGTCGTCTTCGGCATTCTGAACAAAAGAAACAAGAAAAAAAAAAAAACAACAGATTTCAAGCCATGCGAGAGCACAACAAACTGATGGACGGCGGGTAGGGACCAGGCTGAACAAGAGAGCCAAGAAGGTCAACGGAAATCTAGTACTTTGAGAGGAACGAGGAGCAGAACAAATGAAGGAGAGGGGACGGTAGCAGCAAGGAGTACGAGGAGAATGCAGAACATAATCAGCAGCAATATAATTCCACCCGTATCCATACAAAGCGATCAGGCTTGTGAGCACGCCAATCTCAGTGGGGATGGGACCGGTGAGCTGGTTGCTAGCAACGGAGCTGTTTAAGAGAGGGGGATAAGCAAGAGGCAGGGAAGTGTGCAAAGGAGACGGCATAGAGATGGGCAATGGTGACAGAGAGGGTATAGGTTGACACATACGGCAGCACATAATACTACGTACAAGGTGAAAGCCTTTGATTTTAGAGAACCCAGCAGCTGTAGATCTGTACAACCTCTAAAGCCTAAACCAGAAGTTCCAACTGGTTTTACAAGACAAGTTACAAATTAACAGGACGCCGAAATAAACAAGAAACGAAACAAAGACAAACTCTTTGACCTGCATGTTCCACTAATGTCCAATCAGAACTTCGGGTGGGGCAGGACCCTGAAAAAAACTGAAATACACTCCACTCTGAAGCAGCCACTTCCATCAATGGCTCCTTCGGTCTTCATGTTTGAGATCCTCTGGCGCGCCTGCAGCGTGTCATTCAACCTGTTTTGAGATCCTCTGGTATTCAAATTGTTCTACCTCTCTGTTCACCCAAGTCATTCTATAAAAAGAATCAATCTGATGGAATTGTGGAAAGAAACCACATCATTCTTCCACTGCGTTTTATGGGCGACCAAACACCTTTCTTTCCTTTCCGCCCAAGTGGAAAATTCTGTTCCACGAAGAACAGGTCAAACCCTTACAAAGTTGTGAGTGCAGTGAGCTTTGTTATTGAGGCAGGCAAGGATCCTGACAGCCTGTTGAGGCGGAAAGAGCTGGGGGGGGCAGGTGGTGAAGGGCAGAGGTGGTGACTTGTGAGGAGACTAGAGGAGCAGAGACAGCATGGGAGCCACACGGGTGTGGCGCACTCTGGAGTTCTCAGGCCACCTCTGGGGACTGTTGAGCTGACAGTGATTGCGTCAGAGGGGAAGGAAAGAGAAGGGAAGGTAGCTGGCAATAGGAAAGCACGCATTTGTGTGCGCAAGAGTAAATGAGCAGTGAAGAAGAGGGAAGGATATCAAATGGCGAAAAGCAGACACGAGGGGAGGTTCTCTAGGAGAGTGGAAAGGGGTGAAGGGGGGGGTGATTGCTTACAGCGCTGATAGTTTAGAAATGTAGCCAATCTCGTCAGGGATAGAGCCGGTGAGCTGATTGCTAAAAAGATACCTGCGATTTAAAGCAGGATATTGATTGTGGAAACGGGAAGGAAATTCAGGAAGAGGTGGGGTAACAGTGGCCCGCATGAGGGGAAAAGGCAACACGTCATGTTACACAGGCACAAGCAGCCCCAATGGAACAGTCTCACAAGCGCTGTACCCTTTGCTGCGGCAATGGCATGGCACTTGGGCGCTTCTCTTTTTGCCCACATCACTTGTGTGCGACGTACAGGATGGTGGCTTGAGCAAGAGCACTGACACTGGCAGGAATGCTTCCTGAAAGCTGGTTGGTTGAAAGATCACTGCGAACAAAAACGTGACATGACAGAGGGAACAACAGAAGGTGGATGGGTTTACAAGGGTGGAGGAGGGACTAAGGAAAATGCATGACATGGCAGAAGAGCGTGGACCATTGCCAGCCAAACCCGAACCAGCGGGCATGACACAGTACCGAAAGGATGCAAAATGGCAGCGTGGAGAGCATTAAGTTGAGGACTGAAGGAAATATGTGTCGTTACATATTAGCCAGCCGGTTCAGCAAGCCAATGTCTGCAGGGATGGGGCCGGTGAGCTGGTTGCTAGCGAGAGACCTGCCCCAGACAGGGTTTGAAAATAACGGGGGCACCGTCAAGAGGGTGAGAGGTGAAACAAGCAAGGGCAGGGCATCTTGCGAGCACTGGCTGGGTAGCGAGCAAGGCGCATTGGCGGGTAGGGCATGGTGGCAGTGGGAAGCCCAGCCACTCCGCACGCAGTGGGAAGCCCAGCCACTCCGCATGCAGTGGGAAGCTCAGCCACTCCGCACGCTGTGGAAAGCTCAGCCACTTCGCACGCTGTGGAAAGCTCAGCCACTTCGCATGCAGTGGGAAGCCCAGCCACTTCGCATGCAGTGGGAAGCCCAGCCACTTCGCATGCAGTGGGAAGCCCAGCCACTTTGCATGCAGTGCACTCCGCACGCAGTGGGAAGCTCAGCCACTTCGCATGCAGTGGGAAGCTCAGCCACTTCGCATGCAGTGGGAAGCTCAGCCACTCCGCATGCAGTGGGAAGCCCAGCCACTTCGCATGCAGTGGGAAGCCCAGCCACTCCGCATGCAGTGGGAAGCCCAGCCACTCCGCACGCAGTGGGAAGCTCAGCCACTCCGCATGCAGTGTGAGGACACGATGGAACAACCAGGACTCAAGGAAGGAAGAGGATGTCGGTTCAGAATGGGTTAGGATGGAGGCGAGCCGACCACGGTATACAAGCAAGGTAAGGAGGCAAGCGGTGTTGTGTGACATTGTTATTGGTGCAAGGGAATGGTTGGTTAGTCACAAGGGAAGTATAGGAGACAGCAAAACATGTGCAAGACTTGATTCGCCAGAGCCTAGAGCTCAGCAAGATGACAGAGGGTTGGTGAATGTGAAGTTATGAGCATGAAGCGGGAATGAGGCGAGAGAGCAGGAGGCCCAGCAAGAGTATGAGGCAAATATAAGCATGCACGAAAATAAGAGGGATGCTTCTTTGTGGGATCACTTGACCTTCAGACAAGCGGCAAGTGGAATCGCTCCAAGGGGGGCAGCTGATTATCTTACAAAAACGTGAGTCCAGTGATCTTTGAGACTGAAGCGGGCACAGATCCTGACAGCATGTTGGTGTAGAGAGCGCTGATGGACCAACGTAATGTAAAAAGGCACCGAGGCAGGCAGACATACAGCAAAGGATGAGGACCGACCTAGCTCGCACATGATGAAGATAAGGCGAACGTCACATGCATTGCACCCAGCACACGTAGTTTGTTGAAGGGCAGATAATGCGACCAAGCAAGCACAGGAGTCAGAAGTCTCACATGGATACAAGGCTAGTCATGGAGCCAATGTCGGTTGGGATGGGGCCGGTGAGCGTATTGTTGAACAGCCACCTGCACGGAGAGGTGAGGCCACGGACAGGTGTGTATGCGGACAGGTGAAGTGATGGACAGGTGGCACACAATGCATGAGAGCACACAATGCAGGTAAACGTCTATGGGAAAAATTAACAGCAGACGTGGCAGACACTGGTGCGCATCTCACAAGTATCTCAGCAGGCTGAGTGCAGTCACGGTTGCAGGTATGCTTCCTGTCAGCTGGTTGCTTGCAAGATCGCTGTGAGGGACGACCACATCAGCAAACAGGCGAGTAAAAGTTGTAAGGGGTCAAACCAAGGAAAGGGTGTGGTTGCTCAATTCCAAGCCACGCTTAACGCCGTGGGCTCGGCTCGCGTGCTTCATGGGCGCAAAGCGCATTGCATTCGCCCTTTCAAGCTTCTCATAGACGGATAGCTCCGTCGATGCTGGAACTGCAAGCTCAGACAAGCCAACTGTCGCAGACGGCATGCAAGCATCCCACGGAAGAATGCCAAAAAACCCGAATTTCCCAGACACCAACTGTGGGCATGAAAGATGGAGGACGTACAGATAGGTGATCTTAATGAGGTTGCTGACAGAGCTTGGAATCTGCCCTGCCAGTTTGTAGTTGCGGAGTTTCCTGTTTCATGGTGCATCAAACAATGGCAAATGGCAACAATGGTGTCAACAAGGGCATGTCAATCGATGCTAACGTAAGAGCTCTGGTAGGCGGCAGCCCAGAACACTACCCACACACACCACCCCATAACCATCATCACAGGTTATCGAAACGCCTTAAAAACCCGCAAACCCATAGCGTCAAATCTATCCCTAAAATCCACCATCTGAAAGCAGCGCTCCCATTCGCCTCACAAGGAGAGAATAAATCCGCTGGCGTCGCATGTGAGGCCAGTTGCGGTGGTGCACTCGGGACTCGCGCCACTCCACCCAGCGATGGTCTGCCCCCATGCCGTCAGGCATTCCTGCACGAATGTCACTGCAACGCGTGGCGGCAAGTGGGATGGGGAGGAGGGGGGAGGAGGAAGGAATCCTGTGATGTAGGTACGTGTCGAATGGAGTACTTATGATGCTGCTGGATCGAGACATGACGTTAGACTGTGCCGCCTATTCTTCGTCCGAGCGGCATTGCCATAACGCTTTCCCTCGGCCCTCAACTTCTGCACATATGGAATGCAACGGGTGGCGGAACGTGGAGAGGATTGGGGGTGGGGAGGGGAAGCGGAGAAGGAGGGAGATGGGGAGGGGAGGAGAAGGGGGAAGAAAGATCCGTGAGTTTTCAGGTACGTGTCTAATCCGTGGTGATACAAGAGGTAGCAGCATTACTATGTAGATCAGAGCCTCATGTAGTTGGTACGTGCTGACCCATGGTGCCTCGTATCCTTCTCCCCACACGTCGTGAAAATCGCTTCTAGTACCCGCAGCAGCATCGTCAGCAAAACGAGGAGGCTGCTAGTAGTAGCGCCGCCCTTGCCGCTCTGCCTTATGAAACGTACTACTAGCAGATCGATACACGATTTTGGTGGAAATCATTATCACAGATCGATGATCGAGTCTGCAGTCATCGTGGCGTCCAAGTCTAATCCTGACATGATGTCCCAGGGCACCCGGAGTGGTATACTCTACTATACTACTATACTACTAGTAGTAGTAGTAGTAGTAGGAACGCCGCGGCTGCTCACCGTCGCATGCGGCACCGTCGGAGCCGCCGCTCTCATCAGATGAGTCCTCACCTTGCGTGGACTCGAGTGGCACGGCGTTCACCAATGGTGATGGCAATGCGGCGATGAGCAGGGCAAAGACGCCGAGCCACCATGCCGGCACGCGCTCGCGGCGCTCACCGAGCCGCGTCATCAGTGAGTCGGCCAAACGACTCTTTCTCAGCTCTCTGCTACTAGAGACTGACCCTTCATCCATCAGAAAAATGTCCGCCCAGTTTGGGGCAGTTAACAGTCGAGGAGGTGAAGGAGCGTGGGAGTTGACTGTCGTGTTCCGCTTGCCTAGTTAACGAGGCAGTCATCTGCCCAAAACAGGTGGTGCTGTCAACGCTGGTTGACAACCACTTTTCGGTCCGAAGGTAGTTCGGTTGTGTGGTGGTTGACGCAGCAACAACGAACGGATTCTGCAGGTTGCAGTCGAAATCAGCTCGAGGTGTCAGCTTCGATTGGCCACGTGGACTGTAGGAACAACATCGGTTTAGGGCAGGAACTGGTGGTACACACCGTTGCGACGAACAATTGGGAAGATGTGCTGGCGTTTACGACATGGTTACCTGAGCAACTAACTTTCAATTGTAGCCAGCTAAACTAAATATTTCAGCTCGTTATCGAGGGATTTGTTGTACTCCTGGAAATTAACAACTCAATATAGTCACAGGTGTGGAAAATAAAGTGACGTGATTGTATGCAACAGATCTCAATATGTTTAAAATTATTTCTACATTGATATAAAACTGCATTGACTAAGATATAAAAAGGTTGATATAATTATGCAGAATTAGTGATTACATAATACTCTAAATCATAAAATCATCAATTAGGAAAAACCTACTACATTTAGAAAGTATTCACAGGTTGTTAATAGGAGGCCAGGGGGTTGGAACGACCCCTGAGGGGAAGAAAAACAGCTCATATCCCTCTATCAAAATCATAACTTTCCCAATGCCCATCTGAAACCCCTTAGGCTCATCGATCTTGAACGTGACAGGCTCCCTTTCAAGGGTTTCCTTCAGCTAGGCAGCAACCACCCTCGTCTTGGCATGGACGTTGTTGCGGTTGTTGGTCTCATTGTTGTCCAGAGATGCATGGCCCTTCTTGCCCTTGTGGTTCTCCAATGGCCATTCAACCTGCCATCAATGAAAGGCGCTTCAGTTAAGAACAATATTCAGGGGGAAACAAACAGGATCAAATAACACAAGTGACATCTTACCACGTTGCACAGATAGCCGACCGCTGGAATCTTCACTGCAAACATGTTGCACCGGGCACTGACGAATGCCTTTTTGACTGCCAGCTCAAAGGCTGCATTCGCGAAAGGGCGGCCCTGAGCAGAGCAATGCCAGTCGTAGCCATACTTCGCTGCGAATATAAAAACAATGGCAATCAGATCTGTGCGCAAGAACATTCCAGCATGGTGCGGATGCGAGAAAAGACAAGAACTCACGGTGTTTGAACTGCTCCACCCACTCCTTTTCGTTGCGCGCCTTTGATGGATTGATGCCACCAACCTTCAAAAGGAACCACTTATCCTGGGCAATGACGCCACCAGCACCCCACGCCCAGAGCTTGATCGGCTTGTTCATGTTCGCGCGTTTGCAGCCAATCACCTTCAGCGCCCGATCAATGCGCTTGCTGTTCCCGCCCATAAAGAGGTAGTACTCATCTTGCGTGGTCCCCTCAGCTATGTACTTGCGCACCAAATGCGGTTGGAATTCTTCCCACAGAGGATAGAACTCCATCTCTCCTGCAGGGGCAAGGGTGATGAGCCAGGCGAAGGTTTTACCCACCATTTCTTGATAATCAACACAAGGATGCACAAGGGTGAGGGGGTTAAATTTCAGGCACCGGACATGCTACACACAAGTTTGTGGACGGGACTCACAAAAGACGGACAGAAGGAAGTGGTGGACGGGCCGAGAGCGGTAGCGAGAGGAAGGGTTGGGGGAGGGTTTAAAGACAGAACTTGCAAGACATAAAAGGACAGCACATCCGAAGATACATACTATCAGAATGGCACCTCGGTTAACTAACTTACATCGAATGCATCGTCGCTGCTGACTGATGACGGAATGGTCGGGTTGCCCGCAACGTCCTTACGGACGTTCTCCACTCGGACTAGGGGTCAGAAGGGTCCCAAAGGGCGCCCACGTCCGAGCTCGTTCCAGCGACTCCCGCTGAAAGCTGTCGATGCATCGACTCCAACTGCGTTTTCAGATTATCGCGTTCAGCCTCCACCGCCTTGATCTTGGCCCTTGCCTCCTGCAGCTGCGCGTTCAGAGTGGAGACCGTGTTCTGCAGGTCACGCAATAGCGCCTCCAGCTGTCGTGCTTCCTTGAAATGGTGCGCACCAGCAACTACGGGACAAGCCCCGGGAATAACACGTATCGAGAAAGGCAGACAACAAGCAAGTGGAAAGAACAATTAGACAGTCATCCAGCCGACGTTATGAAAAACAGAGCTCAACTCATAGAAATAAGATGCATAACACATTGGCGAGAGGAGGGGGCGAGTGGGGGGCCGGGGGGGGGGGGGGGGGGGAAACGTAGGATGGAGTTGAGCAACAATTCAAGAACTGGCATCGTAGCTATGAGCGTGTTGCGTTTGCTTACCTTGCGACCATTCACGCCTAGCGGGTGCTGCCGGGTTACTAGGCTGCGAGGTGTGCGGCGCCAGCTCCGTCTGGCGAGCCTCGGCAGAGCGCACATTTGCCGCGCGAACCGCCGCAGCGCGGTCCTCCGCCGCGCGAACCTCCGCAGCCCGAATCTCCGCCGCTCGAATCTCCGCCGCCCGAAGCTCCGCTGCCCGAAGCTCCGCCGCCCGAAGCTCCGCCGCCCGAACCTCCGCCGCCCGGACCTCCGCCGCGCACACTTCCGCAGCGCGAACCTCCGCTACGCGCAACTCATCGTCGTTTCCCGCTTGGACGCCGTCAGCATCATCTGCATCGTCGTCGTTCCCGTCTTTGTCGTCGCTACCAGCTTCAATGCCGTATGCGATGAAGGGATCCACGCTGCCCTCCTCTGTGGCCTCAATCACTGCTGCCAACATCAGACCTGGGGCTCCGGCGGCAGGCATGGGGGGTGCAGGGAGAGCTCCAGTATCTGCGTTTGACGCGATACCGCAGACTATGCCGCCTGTGGTTGGTGCGCCGTTTTGCGTGGTGTCCATTGCTTCTGCCACCGGTGCAGGGTTCGCGCCTTCTGCTTCTGACGAAGTGCCGGCGGTAGGGTTGTCGGCGGATGGCGAGCCTGCAGGAATGTTGCCATTCGCACCAGAGGATCGACCACACGCACCAGAGCCGGCGGCAGCACGTTTCCTCTTAGATCCGCCCCAACGGCCTGCAGCTGCTGTCTTACCAACCGTGGGAGCGCCGTGGAGAGTGTTGACTGGAGCTGTTTTTAAGGCAACCTCTTTAGCTAACTGCCGCCTCTCAATCTCTTCTGTAAGAACGTCATCTCCCAGCTGTGACAGTGCAGAGGCACCGAGCAGATTGAGAGCAGAATGAGGGTGGGGCAAGGTGACCCTTGCTGGATCTAGCAAAACTCTTTTCCCGGTGCCTGCCCGTACTAACTGTCCCCCGTTCTGAGCCATAGGTTTGAGGATAGTGATGGTTGACGACCAGTTAAACTTACCAAATGGGGAAAATGCCACGACGCAACCAGCCATGAGCTTTTTTTTCGCACGACTTATTATCTGAAATTTTTAGCGACACAGTGAATGTTTGCGACTTCTCAACCCCATATGTCCATTGTTTCCCATGCCTTTTCCCAGAAAATGTTACTGTGAACTTTGATTCGGCGAACGAGGAAGCAAGGTAACATGCATATATGTGGATTAACGTGCCTAAACTAAATAACACACCCATAAACTATGCTATGGAACTATGATATTTCAAGCTGTAGTGATCTAGCGCTGCGTGAACGAAAAAGAGTGTTGAAATCACAGTTGCGCGTCAAACACAAACTTGTTTGATATTTACTCGAAAGCAAATGGAACAACCACGGTCGCGGTCAAGCGGTTAGTTTACAACTAAAATTTTCCATCTCCTACAAGCACCACTTCGAAAGGTGCAAGTGTGACAAACGACGCCACCGCGCAGACCTCGACTCCAACGGAGCTGATGTCACGCGTGTGCGGCGCGTAGTGTGGCACGTAGCTGGAGAATATGCCTGAATGTGTCTCGCTTTCGACTATCGTGCTGCCAACATGACTGTTATTGCCGCAGAATGAACCAAACGGAAGCTGCCACCATCTGTGTTGGCAACTGGAAGATTTCAACCGGATAGTGCGACACCGCCATCCACATTCAGGTGCACCCCACAGTGCACAATGCGAGGCAGTTATCCTTGTCTGACGGTGTCGCGTGTGGCAGCTGCCATTGCATCGATGGTGACTTAATAACGAGGAAGCGGGACAAAGTATGCTGTCTGGTATGTCAGAGATCCACTGGTGATCCCCGATTGATCCTAGGGAAGGGTTACAGGCACGTTGGCCTGGGGGGGGTTATGGGCGCACTCACCCGCTACTTAAACAAGCCCTTAAATCCCAGTGGTTAGTGGCTGGGATTCTGACATGGTATCAGAGCGAAGGTCTCGGGTTCGAATCCCGGTGTATGCACTTCGGGCATCCCAGTGCGGGGGGGTGTCAGAGGTCCACTGGTGATCCCCAATTGATCCTAGGAAAGGGTTACAGGCACGTTGGCCTGGGGGGTTATGGGCGCACTCACCCGCTACTTAAACAAGCCCTTTTATCCCAGTGATAAGTGGCTGGGATTCTGACATGGTACTGACTGCAAACGAATTGGGAACGTAATATAAAATACAGATTGAAGTATTTGAGTCTTAAAAGGCTAAGGCAACCTAGATGGCTTTGTTTGCCTGCCAGGCCACTTAAATATACTACCCAGTATGAAGTTTTCACCATGCAAACCTATTAACGAACCACTTTTCAGCGTCTTTGTCCGGTCGCACTAACTGTACCGCGCGCTTGATGCTATCAATACTGACTACTCGGTACCTCTGATCAACTCCCTCCTGTGAAGTAAAGAAAACAGGAATGAAATGACTAAGGAAAGATTGGGTACAAATACAGCCCTAGAAACCCTGTACCCCATATGTGCTACCCCACTATAGCCTACAGCAACTATGTCATATAAATCTGACACACCCCCATAGGCAGAGTGGGGGAGAACAAGGGGTCACAAGACCAGTCAAGCAAAGCAAAGCAAGCTCAGGGTGGATCACAAAGTCACCACACAGTCCGAACACAAGAGTAGGGCCAGAGGCCAGTTCACATGCAGGAGTACAGACATATATATAAAACTAGACAAACAAGAGCAGGCATATATATATATGTCACAGTACAAGTGAAGTCAAGAGGAGAGCAAGTGAGGCAAGACAGGCACAAGACCCAGCTGGGTGCAAAAGCGCTGATGGTCACAAGGCGCGAGTGCCTTGGTGAACACATCAGCAGTGTTGGCCTCAGAGGCCACGTACGCAAGTCGCAACTGACCACGCTGCTGCAGCTCACGAGCAAGGAAGTAGCGGAGAGCAATGTGCTTCGTTCTGTGCTCCAAGCGCTGCTCTCGACACAAGGCCAGCATAGCCTTGTTGTCTACGTACAACACTGGAGGAGAACGAGGCGGCTCTCCAAGGTCAGTCAGCAGGTAGGTGAGCCAGCGAAGCTCCTGTGCAGCCATGGCCCCTGCGTAGATCTCAGCCTCACAACTGGAGCCGAGAACCGAAGACGAGCGAGTAGACCGCCACAAGACAGAGCCGGAACCAAGGCAGAAGGTGTAACCCTGTGACGACCGCTGCGTAGCCTGGTCGTCAGCCCAAGAAGCGTCTGCGTGGCCGGTAAGGACCACTGGACTCCGCCCTCCAAGCACTAGCCCCATGCCCGACGTACTGCACAGGTAGCGCAATACCCTCTTCGCTGCAGCCATGTGCTCCGGTATGTGTCTCCCAGGAGCAACATAGCGTGCAAGAATGCTCAGAGGGTATGCAAGGTCAGGTCGTGTGCAGGTCATCAGGTACATGAGGCAGCCAACAAGCTCTGCATACGGACCACTCGACTCTACGGACTCATCCGAAGGCAGAGCTGAGAGTGAGTGGCGAGTAGGCAGAGGAGTGGCCTGAGGCGAGGAGTACGTGAAGCCGAAGCGCTGAAGGACCTGCTGCACCATGTGTGACTGAGTCAAGGTAATGGTGCGGCGTGCTCTGTCCCGAGTGATCTGCAAGCCAAGGTAGCTGCGCAGTTCACCCAGGTCTGTGCATCACCCAGGTCTGTGCACGTGTGTCTCTTCAGCAGCTCGGACTTCACGTAGGCGAGTCCAGCAGTGTCAGCAGTGGCAAAGACCAAGTCGTCGACGTACACGAGGATGTAGAACGCCGGCAGGGAAGTGTCGGTGCGAAGAAACAGCGACGGGTCAGCAGTAGAAGGAGCAAACCCAAGAGCCGCAAGCGTAGTCCTCAGTGTGTCGTGCCACTCACGCGGTGCCTGGCGGAGACCGTAGACTGGCCGTCGGAGGCTCCACTGGGTGCCAGGAGGGAAAGTCCCAGTGAAGCCAGGTGGACGGCGAAGCCAGATCTCCTCGTGCAGGCTACCCTGCAAGAACGCAGTGCTGAAGTCGAGAGAGTGAAGCTCGTAGTCGCGCTGAGCGGCTATGTGCAGCAGCACCCGAAGAGTAGTCATCTTCGGGGTGGGAGAGAAGGTCTGAAAGTAGTCAACTCCCTGCCGCTGACTGAAGCCACAAGCAACGTACCGTGCCTTGAAGACAGGTGGAGAGCCCGGCGGCCGCTTCACCCTGAAGATCCACATGCCACTGACGATGTTCGCCCCAGGAGGGGGAACCGCGTCAACGTAGGTGCCTGTGGACTTCCAGGAAGCCATCTCTGCATCCATAGCTGCCTGCCACTGAGAGGAGTAGGGACCCTCTACGGCCTCCGCGTAAGAACGCGGAGTCGGGATGTCTAGTGCATCCGGGTCTCCCTCAGGGGCAAGCAGTACAGACGCGAGATGAGGTGAAGCAGCCGCTAGACACTGTAACTCCTCCTGCCTGTCCTCTAGGACGTCCGTGCCAAGAGCACACTCACCCCCGACGGACGGAGGACAGACAGACGCAAACTCAGCAATAAGACTAGCAGCGTAGTCGAGACGACAGCGAGCAGCAAAGTCAACGAGCTCAGCGACTAGAGCAGACGCAGCAGTGGACTCAAAAGAGGGGTCAGTGACGACAGTAGCAAGCAGACGCGTGACAGTAGGACTCGCAGCGCGAAGAGAGTCCGACTCAGGGTCGGCAAGCGCAGGAAGAGAGGACTTAGGAGGAGAAGGCAAAGGGGCACGCAGAGGAGCAGTGGACGGACGCAGAGACATCCGATGCGTGCCAGGGACAGGAGGAGGACGCTGACGCGAATTGCGACCACTAGCGCGAGCAGCACGAACAGGCAACGCGGGACGAGACGCAGGCTCACGACGCTCAGCAAGACCTCCAGTAGGACCAGTGTAAGGAGAGGGAGCAGGCAGTGGAGAGGAAGGCTCCAGCAGGGACTGCGACTGGACAGGCGGTGGACCCTCTACCGGAGGAGAAAGACCAAGAACCTGCTGCAGGAGCGGAACGAAGTACGGCCGAGGCCGCGCGGCGGCTCCAGACTCAGCAGGGACAGCACCAGCACCCTCAGCGACAGCACCAGCACCACCCACACCTTCAGCGGCAGGACCAACAGCAGTAGGCTCAGCACGAACGCCCTCAGCAGCTCCAGCTCCAGGAGGACCCGCAGGTCCAGCAGCTCCGGGACCGTCAGCACCCGCACCCTCGACGGTCGAAGAAGCTCCAGCTCCAGCTCCAGCGGCACCTCCAGACTCAGCAGCACGCCTCCAGCGGCGAGCGAACCACTCGCGCAGCTCCTGTGGAGAGAGGGGCTCCCGGCGAGACGCAGCAGCAGGAGAAACCCCAGGCTCAGCAGCTCCAGACGCAGCACCCCCAGGCTCAGCAGCTCCCAGCTCAGCACCCCCAGACCCAGCACCTCCAGGCACAGCACCCCCCGGCTCAGCACCCCCAGGCTCCGCACCCACCGCAGTAGCACCCTCAGGCCCAGCACCCCCAGCAGTAGCACCCCCAGGCTCAGCACCCCCGCGCACAGTACCCCCAGAGTCAGCACCCCCAGGCTCAGCACCCGCAGCAGCACCAGAGTCACCAGTAACCTCGACCGGGTCAACGGCGTCTACCTGGGACACACGTGAGGGGGCAGGAACCTGAGGGGGGAGGGGGTCTACCGGGGGGGGAACCGGCACAAGGAAGTCCGGGGGAGGGGGGAGGGAAGGAGTGCGGTAGGGGAAGAGACGGTAGAAGGGGATTGACTTGTCGAACGTGACGTCCTGGGAGGACAGAACACGACGAGAGGAGGGGTGGTAAAACTGCCACTTTGGGGCGTCAGTGGGGAAGCCAAGGAAGACACAGGGAGCAGCACGAGGGGACAGCTTGTCCGCAGACAAGTCGCGGACAAACGCCCGAGATCCCCAGACACGGAACACAGACGCATCGCCAACCTTCCCCGTCCACAGCAAGACTGGGGACATCGCAGGCCGAGAGACCCGGGGGTGAAGGTTGAGCTGATGCGCCGCGTACCTCACCGCAAACGGCCACAGAAAATGGGGGGCAGCCGCATGCATCATGGACGTACGAGCGACATCCATGACCATGCCAATGCGGCGCTCAGCAATCCCATTTTGCTGTGGTGAGTCCGGAAGCGTGAAGGTCTGGCGGATCCCCCGTGCACGACAGTAGTCTCGCAGAAGGCGAGAAGAGAACTCTCCGCCTCTGTCAGAGTGCAGACGCAGAACAGGAAAGTCCGAGCCGAAGCTCATCCTGAGCTGGAGACGAGCCTCGCGGATCCAGTCAATCAGCACCTCAGTGACCGCACCCTTGCTGCGCAAGGGGAGGACTGTGGTGTAACGCGAGTAGTCGTCAACCACCAACAGGAAGTAGCGCTCGTAACCCTGCCCACGGACGGGGGCTGGGCCCCACACATCCATGTGAAGCGTCTGCAGGGGAGCCTCTGTCGGGGGGAAGTGGGAGGAGTGAGGAGTAGCCCGGAGGCGACCCTCGACACAGGGGACACAGGAAGGTCCTGGCCCGGAGGGGAGAGGAGGGAGAGACTGGGGAAGACCAGAGACAAGGACACGGGAAGCCATGCTCTGAAGACGGGGCAAGGAGGGGTGGCCAAGACGGTGGTGCCACAGGAGAGTCTCGTGAGTCAGGAGGCGACAAGAACAGGGGGCAGAATCAGGACCTGACCGGGACGCAGCAGCAAGTACCTGACCCGACGCAGCCACCTGACCAGACGCAGGGACAGGAGGAGACTCAACGGTCAGGGTGTAGAGACTCAACCTCGGCCGACGCGAGAACGTGGCCAGGTCTCGGCCTGTGCGTGCCTCCGTGCAGTGGGTCACCCGCTGACTCGCAGGAGTGAACTGGTGAACACCCACATCCTGCAGGTCCGCTCCACTCACCAAGTTCGTAGAGAACGAGGGAAGGTACAGACCCGACAGGGTGCCCGAAGGGGCAGCCGGACACGGGAGGACAGTGGAGAAGTGAGACAGGACAGGACCCCCAGAGGGGTCAGCAAGGGAGACTGCAACCGGCCGGCCAAGCGGCGTAAGGGTAGTGCGGTCTCGAAAGAAGGAGCGAGAAGCTCCGGAGTCAAGTGTGAAAGTGAGGGAGGACGAGGACGACTCAGTACCTGAGAGCGCAGTCTCACCAGTACCTGAGAGCGCAGACGCACTGGCACCTAGAGCAGCAGCACCAATGCCCGGGTCGGGCTGGAAACAGCGGTAACCCTCATTCTCCTCACTATAATCCACAACATACATAGCAGTAAGGATAGCATCAAAATCAAGATCAAAGATCGCTACACCAGCCCTGAGAAGCTCATCCCAGCGAGGGATCTCACTAGCCCCAGGGAACTGCTGACGCCAGGCGTCCGTCAGGCGGCCAAATCAGCGCTGGGTGGCGTGGGCACCCCCACACTGCTCACCCGCGCGGTCGCCGGAACGAAGAACGTAGGTGCAGGGACCAGTACCCCCACCCCTCTGACGCCCAGCGTACCACTCACGAAGCTGCTGAGGCGAAGGGATGTCCCGCGAGCGCTGCTGCTGCTGCCGCTGCGAGCGCTGGCCACCACCACCGCCGCTACGCTGCTGGGTACCACCCCGACCAGATCCACCCCCTCCACCACCACTGCCTCCTCCGCTGCCGCCTCCACCGCCTCCACCTCCGCCGCCTCCACCTCCGCCGCTGCCTCCACCACCGCCGCTGGCACCACCACCACCGTCTCCGCCGCTGCTGCCACCACCACCACCACCCCCGCCACTAGTCCCGCCGCCACCCCCACTCCCTCCGCCGCCACCGCCGCTACCGCCACCGCCCCCTCCAGCTCCACCCGCGCCCTTGCCCCCCTTGCCCTTGCTGGAGCGACGTCTCCCACTAGGGGCAGACGCCGCGCCGACCGACTCAAGACCAAGCAGGTCGGCAGCAGCAGCAGCAGAGGCAACAGAGGGCAGCAAGGGGGAAGGAGAGCACCCCTCAAAGATGGGGGTGCGAGGGTCACCACGAGAAGCACCTACAGCGACGATGCTCTTCTCCGCTGCGAAGAGGGCCTTCTCGAGGAGGTCGACGGTGAGGGTGGTGGGACAGACTGCGAGAAAGTGGTCCCTGACGACTCGAAGGGAGTCAGGGAGGCGCGCGACTACGTAGTAGAGAGCGATGAACATGGGGGGGGGGTTCTTAGCGCAGAACTCAGCAGGAAGGGCGGCGCGGTAGCGAGTGTCACTAGTGCGGAGGTGCGTAATGAGGTCAGCGACAGTGGGAAAGGCAGAGAGGTCAGGAAAGAGGTAGGGAAGCATGAGACGGCTCAGTGCAGTAGTGGCAGAGGAGGAGTAGCGCGCAACCACAGCGTCGTACAAGGTCTGAGCACTCTTGTACTGACTGAAGTGCGCACGCTCAGAGGTAGGGAGGTGGCGACGCACAGCAAGACGTGCAGCAGCATCGCGGGTGGCCCACTTAGAGCGGACAGCAGGATCAGCATCAGCAGCAGAAGCAGGAGAGGCGCCAGAGGTGAGATCAAAGAGAGAAAGGTCGTCAGCCCTGTCGCACTGTAAGAACAGCTGCAGGTCGTCTAACCAGACCTCAAAATCAATGGCCCGACCCTCAGCGTCAAAAGCTAGGACACTAGGGGTAGCCATGGCGACGACAGCGACGCAGTGCAAGCAGCAGGGAAAGAGCTCGCAGTGTCAGTGGGACTGTGCTCACCAGGCAGGGCAGGTCGTGTAGGTATGCAGAAAGGCGGCTCGGGTGCTGGGCGGCTCGGCTGCTGGGCGGCTCGGGCGCAGGGCGGCTCGGCTCCCGTGCTGCTCGGCGGCTTGGCGGCTCGGGTGCAGGGTGGCTCGGCTCCCGGGCGGCTCGGCGGCAGGGCGGCTCGGGTCCCGGGCGGCTCGGCGTCGGGCGGCTCGGCTCACGGGCGGTTCGGCTGCTGAGGCGGCTCGGCCAGGAGATGCAGGGGCGGGGCCGTCAGGTGCAGCGGCGGGTTGACCGGTGCAGTGGCGGGCCGGCAGGTGCAGCGGCGGGCCGGCAGGTGCAGTGGCGGGCCGGCAGGTGCAGCGGCGGGCCGGCAGGTGCAGGCGGCGGGCCGTAGGGTGCAGTGGCGGGCCGTAGGGTGCAGTGGCGGGCCGGCAGGTGCAGCAGCGAGGCCGGCAGGTGCAGCGGCGAGGCCGTCAGAGGCGGCAGGCCGCTGGGTGCAGCGGCGGGCCGGCAGGTGCAGTGGCGGGCCGGCAGGTGCAGCGGCGGGCCGTAGGGTGCAATGGCGGGCCGGCAGGTGCAGTGGCGGGCCGGCAGGAGAGGCGGCGGAGCCGCGTCAGGGGAGGCGGCAGGGCCGCGTCAGGGGAGGCGGCGAAGCCGCGACAGGGGAGGCGGCGGTGCCGCGTCAGGGGAGGCGGGGGAGCCGCGTCAGGGGAGGCGGCAGGGCCGCGTCAGACAGGCGGCGGGGCCGCGTCAGGAGAGGCGGCGGAGCCGCGTCAGGGGAGGCGGCGGGGCCGCGTCAGGGGAGGCGGCGGAGCCGCGTCAGGGTAGGCGGCGAGGCCGCATCAAAAGGCGGCGGGGCCGCGATCAGGAGAGGTGGCGGGGCCGCGTCCGAGGGACAGCGGGGCCGCGAGGGAAAAGGCGACCCGAGGGGGTCGCTAAAAAAAGGCGCGCCTCGGGGCGCGCTTCGGTGGGCCCTTAAAAAAACGGTCCTAAGGTAGGACCCGCTCTATACCATGTGAAGTAAAGAAAACAGGAATGAAATGACTAAGGAAAGATTGGGTACAAATACAACCCTAGAAACCCTGTACCCCATATGTGCTACCCCACTATAGCCTACAGCAACTATGTCATATAAATCTGACACCTCCCAGTGCAAAACCTTGCACTTGGTGGCTGCATCAACGCTGGCCTGTTCCCTGTAGTACTTGACGAATGCATAGTTTTTAACCGTGCCCGCAACCTTGGCATGAAACAACAGAAGGGTTTTCGCAAACCACTCCTCGCCGATGATGGCCTGCAGCGGGCCATCACGCTTCGCGTCCGGTACCTGAAGGTATGGGGCTCCAACACATGTTTCTGGCACGTGTAATGCCCAACACCTCTTGGATTGAACCCGCTCGCCTGTCCGTTGGGCCTGCAGGCATGGAACACCACCATCATCTCGTTACGTGTATTCCATGCTCGATGGAAATAATCAAGAACCATACACATAAGTCTAGTTCTTAACTTCACCATTGCGGTGTCATACTTCTTCTTCGCCATGAGTTGTGGCGCGATATACTGAAGACGAAGCCGTGCCTCTTCACTGCCGACGATTTGGCTATTGACGGACCGTTTATTCGATGCCCGGTAAGGGTTTTTTATGCACTCTATGTGCAGATGCTCGTATAGTTGTGTAGAATAATGCTCGGGCAAGCCAGACCTACGAATGGAGTCTATGTAGTGACTGATGAGGTGCATCTTAATGAAGTTCCAATCCGACGTGTGCGGGAATGCGGTCTTGAGATTGTGTAATATCCTACATATAGGCCAAAACATGTCGATCAATATTTAGCAAGCAGTCGGAGAATGAACGCAACACACTGTGAACTATACTACTCACCGTTGTGCCTTTGTCTTGAACTCAAGGAGGGAGGTGTCGGTCTGTTCCGATGCCCGCGCGTACTCGAAGTACCACTCGATGTATGAGACGAGTGCGTCCATCTGTGGCTGCGTAATAAAACCCTTCACGATGAAGGGCAGAATCTGCATGACCGGCCGGTGTTCGTATGCCTGATAGTTCGCCCCCTTTTCGAAGTACTGACCCGCGGGTAAACGCATGTTCCCCCCTCTAATACTTCTCGTGTAGTACCTAAGGATTTTGTCCAGCTTCTTTCTATCTGCCAGTAACTTCACATGCGCGCGAATAAAGTCAACAATGTGCTCGAAAATGCCCAAATCTGCTTGGTGCATCACATCGGGCAGCACCGCAAGGTACGGGTTGAGAATGGTGTCGGAATCCCACCTCCAGCCACCTAGGAAACTCTGCAAAAAACAGAACCAGCACCTAGAGGTCTAGTTCTGCACATGGTATAGCCCATAGAATGACCCTAAAACAGCACCCACATCATACTATACCTGCACAGGGTGGGTGGAGAAGGTTGCATCCGCATCTAGTGCAAGCCGGCCTTCTAAGATGTCTCGCACAATGGTATCCTGCTCGAATGGTGTACAAGCCTGGATACGATCGTGCAGCACTGCCAAGTGCTTCTTGTCCACCTTACAAATCGAACACGGAAACAAAGTACCCCAAGGATTTTGTGCACGTGATCTTGCATGACTCTGGGTAGTCCGACACATAAGCGTACAAATAGGGCCACACGTTGATTGTCTCGCCTGTAGCATTCTTCATAGCTATGCCGGTGTAGGATGCTGTCTTAAGAGATTGCAGCACCTCTCGCATGATGTAGTTGTGGACTCGCATCTTGTCCACTACGTTGTACTCTGCAGGAAACTCAGGGAGCAGTGCTAGTAGCACATGCCCAAAGGGTTGCCACCTGTCGTCCTTATCAATGTTACCCAACGTGAGATACACAGGATGACCCTTCGCCTTCCCTCTATGATCCATATGCGTCTCGTCACTCGCAAGGATCAAAGCAGCCACAACTCCATCCGGATCCTCCTCCCGCACCAAAGTTTGCAACCTCTCCCACCATAGGCCTGTCTTGGGGGTACTATACACCCTCACGTTCCCCACATATTGAGGATCTGCATGGAACACCATCTTGGCAGCCAGCTTGGGGTTCTTCAACAGGTCCTGCAGAGCAATCAACGGATCACAATACCAATACTCCAGCCAAGCCTTGTTACGTGACCGGATGGTCTTTCGTCGCCAACCTCGGTGGCCATCCGTCGCCCTAGACTTAGCATACGCCTGCACGTCTCGGTAGGACTTCCAATCTTGTATTTCAAGAATGGTCTTGCGCATGATTTCCAATAGAGCGTTAATCTCACTGATAGAGAGTCGGTTGGAGAGGATCCAGTGCGCAAGAGCATCCTTGAGGTTAAACTGAGGGGCATCTTCCTCTTCCGCCAGTGCAACACCTGCTTGAGCTCCCTCCCCACCATCATCATCAGCACCAAATACAGCAGCATTACTAGACGCATCGTCATCTTGTTCAAAGGGCAGCGCGCTATCTACTGAATCAGAGGATGAGGAAGTATCACTAGTGTCTGTTGGATCAGCACGAGAAATAGGAGGTACATCAATACACACATCTTCCGCAACACCCGTTCCTACATTTGCATGCACAGGCTCCAACCTAAGTACTGCACGCGGAATGGGGTTAGGAGGGATGAAGCTCGACCTTGCGCGCTTGGGGGCCTGCAGCTGCTCGCTAGTGCTAATGAGGTTTGTAGGGCAGGAGTTGCTCTGCATGTGGCGTCCCAAACCCGATCGAGTGTCGAATGCACAGAGACGACATCTTGGGCAGAGAAATGACATCTGCCAGAATTTTGGGAGTAGGGGAGAAGGGGGAAACCGGAGAAGACAAGACTTGAAGGGCGGGGGAAGGGGGAGGCCAGGGAAGAAAGGCTTACGAGGACAGGAGAAGGGAGAAACAAGAGGAGACAAGCTTAGGAGGGCAGGGAAAGGGGAAATTAGAGAAGACAAGTGACTTGAAGGGCGGGGGCATGGGGAAACCAGAGAATACATGCATATGAGGGGAGGGGAAGGGAGAAACCAGAGAATACATGCATTTGAGGGGAGGGGAAAGGGGAAACCAGAGAATACATGCATATGAGGGGAGGGGAAAGGGGAAACCAGAGAATACATGCATATGAGGGGAGGGGAAGGGGGAAACCAGAGAATACATGCATAGGTGGGGAGGGAAAAGGGGAAACCAGAGAATACATGCATAGGTGGGGAGGGGAAAGGGGAAACCAGAGAATACATGCATAGGTGGGGAGGGGAAAGGGGAAACCAGAGAATACATGCATAGGTGGGGAGGGGAAGGGGGAAACCAGAGAATACATGCATAGGTGGGGAGGGGAAAGGGGAAACCAGAGAATACAAGCATATGAGGCCAGTGGAAGGCCGAAACCTGAGAAGACAAGCATATGAGATGATGGGGAAGGGGAAAACCAGCGAAGACAATCACAGGATGAACGGGGAACTAGAGAATACAAGCATAGGATGAAAGGGGTAGGAGGCAACGGAGCATAGCGAGGACGAGCGTACGGGAGAGAGAAGGTGCACTGGAGGAGAGAAACAGAGAGGAGTGATGGAGACGGAGAACTAGAGAAGATCAACAGGTGGGGATGCGAGTGTAGGCGCACATGATAAGAGAAACAAACAGGAAGAAGAGAAAGAGTGCACACCAGAAGAGAAACAGAGGGAAGAGAGGGAGGGCGCACTGGAGAAGAGATTCAGAGGGGAGCGAGCGAGAAGGCGCCAAGGGGGGAGAGGAGCAGAGGGGAAAAAGACAAATTGCGCATGGGCGGATAGGCGCAGAGGGGAAAGAGAGAGCATGCGCACGGGAGGAGCGGAGCAGAGGGGAATGGGACAAACTCGCATGACAGGAAACTCAGGACATGTCACGAGGAATGGGGGCGAGGCGCGGAATGGAGGGTGGGACAAGTGAGAGCAAGGAAGGCGGCGCAGAATAGAGGGTTACGAGAGAGATCGCGCACGTGAGGAGTGAACCAAAGGGGGACGAGAGAACGCGCACGTGAGAAGAGGAGTAGAGGGGAATGCGAGTGAAGGCGCAAGGAATGAGAGAATGGGAGGGGAAGGAGAGTGAAGGCACACGAAATGAGAGAATGAGAGGGGAATGAGAGTGAAGGCACACGGAATGATAGAATGAGAGGGGAATGAGAGTGAAGGCGCACAGAATGAGAGTTTGAGAGGGGAGTGAGAGGGGAATGAGAGGGATGGTGCACGGAATGAGAGAATGAGAGGGGAATGAGAGGGAGGGCTCACGGAAAAAGAGGAGCGGGGGGGTAGGGAGAGAGAAGGCGCAAGGGAGGAGAGGAGCAGCGGTGTATGTGATAGTATACGCACAGGAGGAGATGATGGGGACAAAATGCGAATGGCGCAGAGGGGAAAGAGAGTGCACGCACAATGGAAGAGAGGAGCAGCGGGGCATGAGAGGGTACGCTCAATGGAGGAGAGGCGCAGAGAAGGAGAGTGTACGCTTGCGGAAGGGAGGATCTGACTAGTGAGAGCAAAGAACGAGGCGCGGTATGGAGTATCGGACGAGAGCTGGAATGGGAACGAGGCGCGAACAAGGAACGGACGAGAGGGGGAGACGAGCGAGGCGCGGATGCAAGCAACGGACGAAATCACAGAATGCACGAGGCACGGATGCGTGGAAGAGACAATAGGCAGAATGGGACGACCAGGACAAATGCAACAAGGTTCCACACGAAACCGCTCCTGACCCGTGGCGAGTAGTTAGTTCGTTGCCTGTACGGCGGATGGCCAAGTCTGCTGAGATACACACGAGGGGATTTATAGTGGCGGAGGTGATCACTCAGACTAAATAAGACAGTAACAGGGTTTAACTAGCACAAGGGTCTGACTACTTAGTCTCTATTGTGCTCACGAATGTCGAGAGAATTTTGCTAGGGAGATTCGAGTCTTTGCTCAAGCTCGAAATCCTGTTTGATGTATGTACTCATCTGGTATAATGCGATGCTGTGCATAATATAGCGCTTTAACTGGTTTTCTATGCGGTTAGGTACGGTTTTGCAACCCTGAACGTGAAGGTGGAGCTGTACTGACACCACCCAATCAGAAACGCCTGGGTGCACGGTTGCCAGTGGGTACAAGTACAACCAATGGTCACGTGTGAAAAGACTGACGCTTTCGAAATTGGCGCGAATCTGATCATCCTGACAGCTGCACCCTCAAATCATACTCGAAAGCCACGATTTGAGGAACTCCCTAAAGCACGAGCTGGCAGTTTATAAGCATCGACACTGCCAATATTAAAACCGCAGTAACCAATTAAACATGTGAGTGGAATAATACCAACCAGTAAAACAAAATACAATATACTACCCAATAATTAAACGAAGATAGATACAATATACTACCCAGTAATACGATGTAACAAAATAATTAAAAAAGATACCACAGGAAAAAATTGGAATGACCGATTACAAAAACAACATAACACCCAGAATTTGAATTCTTGATACAATAACATAACAATGAACCTAATTCATCTGTTAAGTACAATCACTATTTTTCCTACAACTGCCAGACAACTCCCAACTCTATCGCGATGCACAGCTTCGGAAAAGCACACCCACCCTGTTTGTGATCGATTTCTGATTGTGAATGGCAAGAACCACCCACTTACTGCCACGTTTGCAAATTGTGCTCAACTTCCGAAGTTGAGCACCGATCGTGGTGAGAGACCCAACACGTGGCTTCGTCAAACATGGCCCATTCAACTACAGATCACTTTCGTAAACCACACTACCCCGACGATCGACTATAATTTGCCACCACGCTGCCCTAACCGGCCGATTAACTGTCGTTCACGACATGAACTCCAACCTAGAAATCCAAGCCGATACCCCACCACGCGGCATCCGGCGGGATCACATAATTCTGATGTCCCAAAACATTTGGCAGAGGGGTTGGGGTACCAAACCACGAAATGGGGACTTCCTACTCGCGTTTGTGGTATGTTTTGTGTACGCGTGCTGAAACTACTTAGTATTCAAACACCCTAGACCGAACTTTGCATGCCCTGCCTAGCAAGCTATACAGTCGGGAGAATGTTGATCGATGGGGGTGTCGGAGTCCCTTCCCTTACTGCCTCTCACCCTCGCCCTGTTCCTGCATTACTCTGCTCGCTCCCCTTGTTAATGCCTTATTGCGCTCAGTCCCCTTTTCCTCCTCTCCTTGCACAGTCATCCCTTCCTCAGCCACTCCATGCCCCCTCCTGTGCTCGTGCTCGGGCTGCCCGTGCACGTGTCACAGGACCCTCTTACTGAGGCCATCTCTCCTTCACTACCGCCGTGTTCGTCTGGTGATCCATTGCCCGCTCTCCTCTCTCATTTTCCAGCACCAGCACCCATGACCCTCTCACCTCTTTAACCTTCCACCTCTCTGTTCCCAGCCCCATGTCCAGCGTGTCTTTCTTCGCTCTGCGCAGGTAGACTTCCTGTCCCTCTGTCACTGCTGGCTTTGCTTTCCTGCCTTCTTGCTGCTGTCGCTGCTCGTATCTGTGGGCATCTCTCAACTGCGCCGTGTGCAAGTTCTCCAAGGCAGCCGGGAGCATTTCCCTCATGTATCTTGCTCGTGCTTCTGCCAGCACCACTCACTGTTCCGCTCTCTTCACGCTCACCACCCCGGTCAGTACCCTTGGTGCTCCCACGGGCAGTATTGGTTCCTTTCCATACAGCAGGCTATACGGGGAGTAGTCCTTTAGTGACGCCTGCTTCCCGAACCTGTACCCTGCCGCCACCCAGTCTAATTCTTCATCCCAGTCCCTCTTCCGCTTCTCTCCGTACACCCTCAAGTTCCGCTTCAAGGTCTGCACCAGCCGCTCGGTCAGCCCATCACTCTAAGGATGGTACCTTGATGTCTGCCTGTGTGTCACCCTTGCCTCGTCCAGCAGCGCTTGGAACTCCCCCTTGAATTCCGTGCCCTGATCGGTGAGTACCTCCCCTGGTGCCCTGAATCTGCACACCACCTGTCCCTTGAATGCCTTCGCCACACATCTGGAATCCTTGCTCGGCAACGCACACACTTCTAACCACTTGCTTGCATGCTCCACCATTAATAGGATGTACCGCTGTCCTCCTCTGCTCAGCGGCAGCTCGCCGGCTATGTCCAGAGACCACCAAAACCCCAACCCTCTGATCGGCAGTGATTGCAGCTCCTGCTTTGCCTGGATCAAGCTGGCCTTGCTTCTCTGGCAGCCTTCACAACCACTGACCCACTCTCTGACTTGCTTCCTCATCCCTTCCCACCACCAGCCGGTCTTGAACAGCTGAGTTGTGCGCACATGCCCGAAGTGGCCTTGCTTCCTATGCACCTCCTCTATTACCCCTTCCCTCTCTTGCGGCGCAGGCACCAGCTTCCACCCATCCACTGACTGCAGCTGCAACTGTCCCTGGTACCAACGGTAGTGGTGCCCTCGTGCTCTCACCCTGTCTGTCACCTGTTCGTTCTCCTCTGTTTCCCCCTTAATCCACCGCAGGGCCGTGGGATCCTTCCATTTGTCCTGTGGACCCCTCTTTCCTTGCTTTTCTGCTGCTGCCTCCTCCCCTTGCCTAGTGAGCAGCATCAGCGCGTGCACCGGGCTCTGCTACTGGCGGGTTCCTCGAGAGCCCGTCCACATGCTGCAGTGTCTTCCCCGGCCTGTGGCGTATCTTGAAATCGTATTCCTGCAGAGTCATGGCCCAGCGCGCGTTTCTCCCCGTCAGCCCCTGGTGAGTCATCAACCACTGCAGCGGCTGATGATCTGTGATCAGTGTGAATTCCCTCCCTTGCAGGTACACTCTGAAGTGCTTCATAGCTCATACTGCAGCCAGCCCCTCACCGTGATAAGAGCTGTACTTGGCCTCTGCTGGGTTACAGCTTCTGCTCGCGTACGCCACTACTCTCTCCTCTCCGTCCAGTTCCTGGCACAGGATTGCCCCCATACCCTGGCTGCTCCAGTCAGTGTACAAGCAGAAGGGCTTGTCGGCCTTGGGCAGCTACAGAATCGTTGCTGTCTTCACTGCCTCCATCAGGTCTCTCAAAGCTGCTTCCTGCTCTGTCCCCCATTCCCACCTTTTGTCCTCTCTCAGCAGCCCATTCAGCGGTGATGCACGCTTGCTGAAATTAGGGACGAACCTTCGGTAGTAACTCAGAAAACCGAGCACCGCTCTCAGTCCACTTCTGTCCTTTGGCTGCTGCAGCCTATTCAACACCTTGACCTTTGCCTGCTGAATCCCTATCTGTCCGCCCCTGACCTCATACCCCAGGTACTGCACGGTCGCTTCCCCCCACCTGCATTTCTTTGGGTGGCAGGTCAGCCCTGCTGCCGCCAGCGCCTTCAGCGTCCGCTCCACGTCTCGCACGTGCTCCTCCTCACTGTTGCTGAATATCACCACGTCATCTATGTAACATGCTGCACACTCCAGCCCCCTCAGTACACTGTCCATTACCCTTTGGAAGATGGCTGACGCGTTCCTCAGCCCAAATGGCATAAACAGCCATTCGTACAACCCGTCTGCACCATGGAATGCTGTTTTACGCATGTCCTCCTTCCTGATCTTGATCTGGTTAAAGCCCTGTCTCAAATCTAGCGTGCTAAAGATCTCCCCTGCCCCCAGTCGGTCGAAAATGTCCTCCGCTGTTGGCATTGGGTACCTATCGAGCACTGTCACCTTGTTCAGTGCTCGGTAATCCCCACACATACGCCGGCTCAGCACCTCTCCCAGCAGGTCCTTTCGTGCGGCTACCACTGTCGGTGTTGCGTACTCCGATTCTGATCTCTGTATCAGTCCTGCTTCTAGCAATTCCTTGCATTTTTCCTTGCAGATGTCCTCATCCCCGGGTGTCATTCTCCGTTTCCTTTGAAACACCAGCTCGTCCGTGACCAGCTTCAACTCCATCTCCTTCACTGAGCACTTTCCTAACTCCTGTAAGGTAAACGCAAAGGCATGCCTATACCTGGCCAGCACCTCCTGCACTGCCTTCTTCCCTTGCTCGCTCATTGCATTACCCACAACCCACGTTGGCTCTTCCTGAACTGCCATACACGCCCATGCCCCCACCCTTTTCACCCCTTCCTCCTCCCTTCGCGGTTTTTGCTCCCCTTCAAGCACCAGCCCTCTCCACATTCGCCGCAACAGCCACTGCATGACCTGACCGTCCATGGCCTGTCCTAACGCTTTCCTCCTTTCCTGTTCCGTCACCCCTGCTGCCTTGGTTATGTCTTCCCCATACCCCATCGCCAGCTCCCGCTCCAGTGCCGTTGGTTCCTCCCACTTCTTCGTCTTATGATCGTACACCATGCCTTCCCTTGGCATTCCTCCTTCCTTCCTAAACCCTGCTGCCCCCTTGTACCCCACCAATGTCGGCCAGGCCCTGCGTACTGCCCCCACCTTGTTGCATGGGCATTGTGTCCCGTGCCTG